TAGCTATACATACAACTTTTGGTTGCCTATTTAAGTAGTCTGCCCTAGGTTCCACACTAGCTACCATACCTATAACCCAACTAGGAAGTTATCTATTTAAATTCTCTAACTATCACTTTTGTAATACACCCTACTCTAACACTTATATGAGATTAGCAATTGCCATGGATAACTTTAAGACTTTAGCCAAACTATATTAGAGCATTTATCCTTGTAATAAACCTAACAGGATGGTACATGTCCCACCCATATATTCACCTGCATGTTCTGGTAACTTTAATCTAACTAGTACTTGTTGTGCTGCTGCTATCAGGTTCATATCTCAAGCTATCTTTTCGGATATTGCCATAACTCGATCTGTATTTCAAGCTACAATCTTTCTAATTAGGAGCCTATTAGTACTTCTTGCTCTTGTGAGGTTCACAACAATACTAGTACCCACATTCTAACTTCTTTTTTTTCCTGAATTCCTTACTGGTCCCTCCCTTACTTCCAGCCGGCAACCCGGAAAAGTTGGTCTGCCCAGGCATTAGGTGTTTCACAGTCGCTCTTCTCTTGGTACATGCTTCTAGAGCACAAGTTCTTTTCTTCCAGTTGGCGGTTTAGCTAGTATATCCCCACTTAAGGATCTGGTTGTTCGGTTCTCTCATCTTAGACCTCGATTCCAAATTTGGCCTTTTTGTAGCACTATTAAAGATTACTACTACTCTATATTCAGGATTTGCCAAATGAGTTTTTGGTAATTCTGGTTTCCTAAATTTATTACACCGAAGCTCCTATTCAAGATGGTGTGACCAAGATTATAGATATCTGAATCCAACCGATAATCTTAATGTTAACCAATACAGATCTAGTTTTTTCAAAATTGTTATCTGTAGAATTTGTACTCTAGACTTGCTGTCTGAGGGTGTGACAACTCTATTACTTCACTAAGTCACTATACCCTTTTAACTAACTTTTAATATAATTTAAATTAATTTTTAATAATAAAAAAACTAATTTTACCAATTTTACTATTAAATAATTTCAATAATTCCCTGTCGCACTAAGTGTCACTTATGACTACCTTCATCATAATTTTAAAATGTAATAAACTATATTTATAATGATTATATTGTGATCAGGAATCTTTTTATAGAAGATTCTCAGTCTTATATTAATGACTGGAAATTTTATAATTCTCTGCAATTAGATAAAAAACTTTATAAGGCTCAAAATTATTAAAATTTTTAAGTCAGGCAAAATTTATATAAATTGTGTAATTAATTAAATTTTTATAAATAAAGCAGAAGTTATAATTACAAATTTATTTAATTTCAATTACATTGTCAGTTACATATATATTTAAGCATTAATTATATAGTACTTTAAATTATAGCATCGAACTAATATTAATGCTTATATTACTGCAATTCTCAATCATAATATTAGAAACTTTGCTTTTTTAGATTTTATACTAAAATTAGCCTTATTATCAGATTTGACTTCAGATCTATCATTGTGTTCATTATTAATTTTAGTTTTAGCATTAACAGTAAAAAAGGCTTATTATCTGATTTTTTTTCATTCAATTTACTGGAAAGTAAATTAGATACTTTGGAAAATCCTTTATTGATATAATTAGAAATCAAATCTTTTAATACTATATAAGAATCAGGTTCTAGAAAAAAATTAAAAATTAGTATAAACAAATTATAAATAAATAGCACTACTATATATTTTATACTATTTTACTTGCTTCTTCAATTGGAATTAAAAGAGAAACATTATTTCATTTATGTTTTAATAATTGATACTAGTTTTGTGCCATGAAAAGATCATTTGTTCATCTAATATAACACCCAATTCTACAAGATTATGAATACCTGTAAATCGCATAGAGTAATTAGTAATATAATAGCCTTTAAAATCTACTTTAGCATCCTTGCAAATACTGTGCATTATAGTGTTGTGTGACCTTTTTTCTAATTTTGATGGCAAACACCAATCACTATAATATACTTTTTTAGGAGTATTGATAGCAATGAAAAAATAATCATCTTCAACATTATCTGAATGCTTAGATAAATTTTTTAAATATCAACTAGCGTATAAATATTTCCTGAAATATTAGGTGGTATTAAACTATTTTCAGATTCTGCATATAGGTCTTTAATTCCTTCTGCATAATTCTTTTCTTTAGGTAATTTGAGCCACATACCACCATCATCTAGTTCTTTAAGCCAAGATGCTTTTAACCTTTTTGCACTCCACCTCTTAAGCAGTATAATAAAGTTAACCAGATCTAAACTCTTCACATAAGACCTTTTGGATTATCAACAGCCATAGTAGGTGAGTTAAGTATAAACTTAATTTTATTAATTTCTAGTAGACTAGATTGTTTGCGATTTTTATCACTATTATTAACAAGTGACTTCATATAACTATCTAGTATTCTATACAAACTTTTAAATTAATGCTTATCAAACAAGTTTACAACCCATATCTCTTCAAGTATTTCAGATATTTCACATGCTAAAGCACAAAATCCAGTATAAAGTGATGGTGCTTTATATTCTTGGCCATTTGATTTTCTAACTTCAACAATAAACTGTTCTAACTGATCTGATAATGTCTTATTGTCTAATTTAATAATTTCATTTGAATAATTATGTAGCTTACGAAATTTCATGAATAGAGACATTCAAACATTCTTAGACTTGTCTGTATTTATATTTCTTGATACTTGATGAAATTTAGAAATTGCTTCTTTAGTTGTTAAAACAAACCATGCATCAGTTTTTGATATTTTTTTATTAATTAAAAAAAATGGTTCACTGAAAAAAGAATCTAGTAAAAGAATATTTAAAAGAATTCAATGAAAGTTTTAATTAAAAAAAAGTTCTAGTGAAAAAAAAACTTTTAGCGAAAGAGAAATTTTAGCAAAAAAAAAGATTGTTAAAATGATCATTATAAATAGTTAATCACATATTAATTTATGATAGTGCATAGTCAGATGAACATCTAGTGACACGCTCCTGGGAATTATCTATTTATTTTTTAGAGAAAAAATATAGCAGAGGTTACCAATGATCATATCACATGGGATGGCCCTTTAGACCATCCTATATGCTATGATTATCAGTAACTTCTGCTATAATTTCTACTCCTCCAGAAAATAAATAATACCAATTTCAACAAAACTTTTTATTAAGAAAGGTAAGTTCATCTCTATCTATAGTGATAGTATGCAGACTTGAGATACTTATCTATTATGGTAGAAGTAGCTACATAACTTAAGATATAAACTCCTAACAAGTAGAAATACAAAACTAGACATACCAAATTGAAAGCAAAAAGTATTTATATGAAGTATTAATATACCAATTTGAGAATTGAGATAGTAAATAAAGTAAATGAAGTGGAGAATATGTAAAAGTTAATTGAAGATGGGTAAGGATATACAAAATGCAGATTAATTATATATATGAGAATATTGATAACTCTGGTAAGTTTTAGCTATAGATAAATAGTTTGTATATTTAAAGTCCTAGTCTTAATATTAATATATAATACATATATATTTATAGTACTATCATATGTCAATTCACTTAAGTATTAATAAAAGTTTGGGCAGGTGCTACATCTGGGATATTCTTCTAAATATTAAAAAAAAAAATAGTATAATTATATAAATATAGCAACCTAGTATAATTATTATTATTTTTTTTTAATATTAAGGTGACTACTTAGGCCATTGGCATGAGCTTTATTCAGATAGTTACGATATTACATCAGATTCACAGGATACAACTAGCCACACGTACACCTTTTGAGTATCTAATTTAAGTGGTCTACCTGGGTTCTACACTAGCTACCATACCTGCAATCTAACTAGGAGATTACCTATTTAAGCTCTCTGGTTATTACTAACAAGAGTACGACTAGCTATATATGCAACTTTTGATTGCCTATTTAAGTAGTCTGCCCTAGGTTATCTAGTATAATTATACATGCTGCCCAAACTATAAATTATTAAAATCCTACCCAAACCCAAACCCCAAGTGGAAAAATCCCAAATCCCAAACTGGAATAATCCTATTTGGGCTACCATAATCCCAAACTCTATCCCAAATCCCAAACTCTATCTCAAATTCTAAATCCTATCCCAAATCCCAAATCCCATCCCAAATCCCAAACTCAATCCCAAATCCCAAATCCCATCCCAAATCCCATCCCAATTTACATATGATTCAGGGAATTGGCTTTTTTTTTTTTAAAAAAAAAAAAAAATTCGCAAGTTATGCGATTTAGCTAGCTTATTTATTTTGCATTAAATATTATCAGAGTTCAAGCTCGATCAAAGTAGTTGGGAGTCAAAAATATTTTACCACTGCAACTTTTAAAAATTACGTACGTGCCTAATACGTGAGAAATACGTTTAATTAAGATTTTTAATGAGTTTATTTGTAACTATGGTCTTATAGAATAAGTAAGAGTTTTATGAATTGTGCTACATAATGTGATCTATGAATTGTAAGTATGACTTATATGTGTACTGTATATCGATTAATGCTTCTCCTAAGATAGCTCTTTTTTTTTTTTTAGAGAAAACAATAGCCTGTAATTATATTAATTTCAGAGAGATAAAATGGGTCTTACATACATTCCTAGTAAAAGTACTGTCACCGTCTACCAACTGTGGATGAGAATTACACCTCAAGATATCTGTGAACAAATACTGGAACTTGCAAAAAAGGGTTTAATGCCCTCACAAATTATTATATACCTTCAGAACTTGTATGATATAAAGCCAATTAAAAACATTACTGTGAATAAAATTCTTCGAATCTTAAGGTTTTATAGTAAGTAATCGCTTTATTCAAAAAAAAAAAAAAAAAAAATTGCTTTATTCAAAAAAAAAAAAAAAACTATATTTGAACAATTGTTCCTTTTAAGGTCTAGCACCCGAGATTTCTGAAGACCGTCATCATTTGATTAAGAAAGCTGTAGTTGTTTGAAAGCATTTGGAACGTAATTGTCATGATAAAAATGCTAAATTCAGATTAATGTTGATTGAATCAAGAATTCGTCGCTACGTCAGATTTTATAAAAAGGAAGGACAACTTTCTCCAGACTGGAAATAGTATTCTTAGATTTATTCTGTTTCCTAGAATCGGATCTTGGGTTATGATTCATCTAATATTTAAATTCTATTCTCCATTTTGATATTATTCTTAATTTTTTTTTCTCTAGCGAATTTTAATTTCTAGTATTATTATCATACACAAATTCAATAATAGTACTGTGGAAACATGAAAAGAAACATTTATTATTTTTATACGTCGAAATAAAGCTAAATCTGGATTCCACTTAAGTGAATTTTATATAAATTATTACAAAGTGGTAACATTTTATAAGTTGCCTCAATTACTATTTTCTTAAATTTTGTTTTTAAATTTTATGAATATAGTCATTTTAATAAAATTATATATTTTGCCTTGTTGCCAATTTATTTGCCTTTATATTTTATCACTGTTTCAACTAGTGTGACAATTGAATTCTATGAATCCCGCATATTGTTTTAACAATAATAATATGCGAGTTCACAGAATTCAATCCGTACGAATCTTTGATCAGCTTTAAAATCATCAGGGACCTTATGGTACATAGTAATTGCTATGTTCATAAAAATATCTTCAAAGAAAAGACCATAAGACATGTAATCAGTTCATAACCACAGTATTTAATGAGTTGTATAAATGCACTACTAGACACCTCTCGTGATTAAAGTTGTATCTGAAAATAGATAATTTTTTACCAGTGCAACAAATATATAACTTATCTCCTTATTTGCAATATAATTACTACCATTAAAATTAAAGCAAGTAAAATTAAATCCTTATAGTTAAATTATACAAAATATAATTTTGATGTTATATTTTATTCTTGATGTATTATGAATTCAAAGTATTGATCATTTCTTTTCAAACTTTAGATCGGGTTAAGTGAAATAATCGCTGTCATAGTAGGCAATCAGTAATTATTTTTTTTTTTACAACAGTTATATAAATGGTCTCGATTTAGGGTTTGAAATGAAATTATCATTTGAGAAATCATTCAATATTGATATTGTAGCAAATTGAATCAGAGAGCAATAACGATTTAGAGATTAATAGAAATGGATTCGGTTACCATTGGCCACTATTTACAATATTCCTAAAAATAATACTCTCACGATTAAGATTCGGGTATTACTTGCAATACTTACTAGAGATTAGGCCCGGGTAAAGATTACCTGGGTAACCCGTATAAGCACTCTTATCCGGGTAGAAACTTAGTTAACCGGTTAATCCAGATAAGAAATCAAAAATAAAAAATAAATAAAACAAACCGGTTTATCAAAGTAAAATGCGATTCACGAACCCAAGTCGGGTTCATTTGGTTAAGTCGTAAAATAACTATAAATTATTTGCATTATACCATTATATTAGCTAGTTCTGACTTTTTACATAGCTCATTACTGTGACTTATTGTAATTAGACCTAAATAAATTAGGAACTCTGAATTACTATTTGATTTTCATAAGGAATGCAAAATTTTTATGATCTTAATCGGGTTAGCCAGGTTAACCAGGTTATTCGGATTAACCGGGTATTATCCAGTTAAGAGTTTGTTATATAGGTCAGTTATCCAGAGTAGAAATTTTATACGGGCTTAATCTTTAATACTTATCAATGTTTCTTGAATAAGATCCGGGAATATAACTATGCATATTGATTTACTATTACCTAAATTTGATTCTAATTTAAGAGTTTAGGTTAAATTTGAAATTTGAAATTTCAAATTTAGGATTCAAAATGGAAGATTTGGATTTTGGCTTTGAACACAGGAGGGAATTTGGGATTTAGATTTGGATAGGATTTGGGATTTGGGATAGGATTTGGGATTTGGAATTGAGTTTGGGATTTGGGATGGGATTTGGGATTTGGGATAGAATTTGGGATTTGGGATGGGATTTGGGATTTGGGATAGAGTTTGGGATTTGGAATAGAGTTTGGGATTATGGCAGCCCAAATAGGATTATTCCAGTTTGGGATTTGGGATTTTTCCACTTGGGATTTGGGTTTGGGTAGGATTTTAATAATTTATAGTTTGGGCAGCATGTATACTTAAACCATGGTAATTACTCTTCTTGACTACGCATACTTGCTAGATAGCATTCCTTTATATCTATATATACAACTTTTCCAACTTGATAGTTAGATGCATTTCAGCATCCTTCATGCCCATGCTCAACACAAGATTGCTTTATATTTTCATGTACGCTAGCTGAAGTCAGATGCCAATTATTAATTTCATTGGCAAGTTTACTTTCAGAATGGTTTGCCCCAAATACCTGCTCTGCTAACTCAACTATTTTTAGCGATTCTAGTAATTCCTGCTCTTTTTCTTTACTAATTATTCCTTCTCAAAGTTGCCAGTCTACTGCATCCTCAAATAATTCCTTACATGCTTTTACAATATCCGTATGCTTTGTCTATGTCCTAAATATACGACCATCTTCTAGAACAAACTGTGATATTGATTAGATTTCTTCTAGTGTTTCACCTTCTCTAAGTCTGAGTCCAATAAGCCATATTGCTTGTGAACCTTGAAGAGCTTTATTGATAGCATTCCATGTATTATCATTATAATATTCTACTATTTGATCTCTTGAAAAATGATGGTTTCTAGGGAATGCATGGCCATTATGAACTACTATCTCAATCTCTTCATACCTACCTGTTCAATATTTTTTACTATTAAAAATGGTCCTGTGAATAATATCAAGTAATTTGATTAGCCTCTTAAGTATTTTTTCTAATTCTGCTACATCCTCTACCCTAGCACTAGGTTGACACATTCTTTTTTCCCATATATCAATTTTTTGCTT